GACACGAAAAAAGACAAAAAAAGGAAAAAAAAAAAAAAAATGTCCCCGCCTTGATGTATGGCCATCATTAATACCACCTTTACGTGGGTCATATGTGATTTTGGACAGATGGTTCTTCTTTTATTTCAAAAAAGGCAGAAAGGCAGAGAAAGAGGCCAAGAGAAGAAGAGGAGGAGGGAGAGAGGGACATCTTGAGGTGACCAGACACGAATTTGAGGATGAAAGTGAAAAAGGCCGAGGTGTAGAGAGGTCTGGAGAGCAGGCGTGTGTGACAGAGAGGGTTGGTTCCAGTCACCGAGCCACTGGAGCTGATGAAGTGGAGAAGGCAGTGGGCCTGGTCTTCTGTGGGGGAGGAAAGGAGGTGCTGCTGAGGAGCTGGGGTCCCGAGGACCTTAGGGCTGCTGTCTCAAGGTGGTGGGAGGAGGGACGCCAGGCAAATGCTGCTGCACGACCTCCCACAACTGTGGTCTCGACTGGGCTGCACACTGGATTCAACCAGGAGCATTTACAAATCCACACTGTCACCCCAATTAGATCAGAACCTGGGGGGTGGGGGGATAGGTGCAAGCCATTGGTATTTTTAAATCTCTTAAATGACAGAAGTGCAGCCAAAGTCATGAGCCACGACGTAGGATGATGATAATGAAGGTAGTAAAATTCATAGAAGTTCCCTGAATACCAAAAAGAGCCAACTCCAGGGCCATGATGAGAATTGGCATATCACATGCAGTTTCACGGACTTCTCTAGAGATTCTGATTCGATGGGTCTACAGTGGGGACCAAGAATCCGTATTTTTTTTTTGTCCTTTTTGAGACCGGCTGCACCGCGCTCAGCCAGTGAGCGCTGTGAGCGCACCGGTCATCCCTATATAGGATCCGAACCCGCGGCGGGAGCGCCGCTGCACTCCCAGCGCTGCACTCTCCCGAGTGCACCACGGCCTTAGCCCAAGAATCTGTATTTTAACAAAGCATCTAGGTGGTTCTCAGCAGGCAACTTTGGGAAAATCTTCCTCTAAGACTGAGAAAATGTGGTCTGCAAACTTGTAGCATCAGCACCATCTGGGAGCTTGTTAGAAATGTAGAATCTCAGGCTCCCGCCCAGACTCACTGAGTCAGAATCTGCATTTTAACAAGATCCCCAGATGATTCATAGGCATCTTAGAGTTTGAGAGGCACCGCTGTAAGGTGCTGTAATTCTTTCTAATTGTTCTGGTTTCTAGGAAAGTAAGGAGTGATTTTGGCCATTTACTTTCCCTGATAATGTATAAAGAGAAAGCAAAAGGCTGAAATAATCTGAAGTTGATCTTGCACACACTTAGAAACGGTCTTTTCCCTGATAATGTATAAAGAGAAAGCAAAAGGCTGAAATAATCTGAAGTTGATCTTGCACGCACTTAGAAACGGTCAGTGACAAACCAGGGCCTGCAGTAACGACTTGGATTTATAAAATCATCTGCAATATGTGAACAAATAAGGTAGCATTTCCCTGAATTTCTATAATCCTGCCTTTTCAAGTTGATTTTGCTGTGAGTTTTAGAAACCAAGCTTCTTGTTCAATCCTCCAAAATTCACCCAGTTTAATTGATTTAGTCCACAGCACCAAACAAGGAGTTGCTGAAATTTCTCCATCTAAGCACATGCCCTCAGTATCCAACAGAGAAGCCCATTTAATCAGTTTCCAGTAGTAAAGAAAATGACAGGGACCACCTTACCGCCTTCTCTTCCATCAGTTGCCTGATGCTGGCTTTCAGCTTCTCTTCTTGTTCTAGCTTCTCCCCCTGCAGCTTCTCCTTCTCTGCCTGATGCTCCTGCAGCTTTTCTTGCAGCAAAGACTGCTGCGTTTCCTGAGAACTGTTGATCTTGATCTGAAATGAGAGAAAAGGAAACTGAAGCCTATAGGGGCCAGGATTAACAAAGGAGTCATTTCCACATCTCTTTATAGACTGTCTACATTTCAGGGGACAAAGATTTGCACAAAACTTTCTTAGAAACGAAGACAAACTATACTTAGCCTAGTTACTGCTGGTAGGGAAACAGCAGAATGCAGTGGTTAAGAGTTCAGATTCCCATGTACAGTAAATGCATATATTAAAAGAACACATTACCCCACAAAAATAAATGTAAATAAAATTAGAAAAAAGAATTCATATTCTGGATCTAGCTAGAATCCCAGATCTAATTGTTTCAAGGTAACTCCTTGTTTAGAAAATGAGGTTAGCAATAGCATCTACCTCTCAGGATTGTAAAGATTAAATGAGAGAACATGCAAAGCTTTTAGCACAGTGCTCAGCACATAGTAGGCGTGCGACAAACAGTGGCTCGAATTAACAGTGATTATTTGCTGGGTGTGAGGGAAAAGGCAGTGAGGGCGTCAGAAGGCCTGAGCTTTTGTCTTGTTTCTCTCACCCATTAGCTGTGACATGGCAGTTGTCACTAACCTCTGTGGACTTCAATGTCCCTATCTGTAAAGTGCTGGGTGTGAGGGAAAAGGCAGTGAGGGCGTCAGAAGGCCTGAGCTTTTGTCTTGTTTCTCGGGCTGTGACATGGCAGTTGTCACTAACCTCTGTGGACTTCAATGTCCCTATCTGTAAAGTGAGGAGGGTGGACTAGACTAGGGGCTGACAAACCACAGTCCACAGGCCAAATCTGGTCCACCTCCTGTTTTTATAAATAAAGTTTTATTGGAAGGGAGCCACACCTACCATGCCCATTAATTGACATATTGTTGGTGGCTGCTTTTGTTCTATGACAGCAGAGTGAAATAGGTGTGACAGAGCCATGTGGTCTGCAAAGTCTAAATGATTTACTATCTAGCCCTTTACAGAAAAAGTTTGCTAACCTCTGGACTCAGGTCTCTACGGTTGATTGGAATGGTGGTCCCAATTCTTCACGCTCCCTCTATCCGTGTCTTTGGCTATGTAACTTGTAGTACCCGCCCATACCCCAGCCCCTGTCAATGAGCTCAGCCAGTGACTTGCTTTGGCCAAGTGGGATGTTAGCAGACATAACACAAGCAGAGGACTGAAAAGCACTACACGATCTGATTTGCTTTCTCGTGTACCCCTGCAGCTTCTATGGGAACACACCCAGGCTAGCTTGATTATAGCCCAGGAGGCCAGACAGGGGACAGTCTCTGTCTTTGCCCTTACCCTCCTGGGAGATCTCAGCCACCCTGTCTGAATCTCTTTGTATGCAAATGGAGAAATCACTTCTCCTATTGGAGGATGTGAGCTGACTAGCTGATAGAGGGAAAAAAAGGGTTTCAAGTGTACTGTGCTTCATAAACGCCCAGGAGGAGCTGGGAACAACTTTGATAAAAAGAACATAAGAGAATTACCTGAAGTTCCTGGGTCTGGCTCATAATCTTTTTATAATGTTCCAGAAGATATATGAGATACAAAGAGAACCCTTAAAAAAGAGAAGCAGTAAGATGGTAAGTATCAATTCAATTCAACCCCTTTGCTTTCCAAATAATGTCTCAACAAAGCTTGCAGACAGGTGGATGAAGCGGTGTCATCCCCCCACCAAGAAGACATGAGCTGCCACCCAACTTGTGTTGTTAGCTGAGGAGCCATGGTTGGGCTCAAATCCAAGTTTGTTTTTGGAGGTGGAAAATAAAAATTCATAAACCAGATACCTATGTACCAAGCGTCAACTGCTTACGAAGCACTGTGCTGAGTGTGGGGGACGGTACGAAGCCATGTGGCCCAGGGGCTAATGGCTCAGTCTGAGACACAAGGTCTAAATGCCTGATAGGAAACACGCAGTGGCCCCAAGCAGCATGTCAGCGACTGCTGGAGGACAGGGCTAGCTGGGGGTCTCAGAGGATGGAGAGATCATTCACCCAGAGTAATCAAGGAAGGCTACTTGGTCGAGGAGCCACTAGGTATAGGCGTTGTTGGGTAGGCAGGATTCAGAGAGTTGGAGGGGAGGGCATTTAAGAATAGGCGATACGGTAGGCTGAATGACGACCTGCAATGACATCCAGGTCCTCATCCCTGGAACCTGTGGATATTACTTTACAGGGGAAAAGGGACTTTGTATTAATGTCATTAAATTAAGGATTTTCAGACGGGGGATTATTCTGGATTAACTGAGTGGGCCCAATATAATCACAAGGGTTTTTATAAAAGGAGACAGAGGGAAATTTGACTGCAGACAGACAGAGGAGAAGGTGTTATGATGGGAACAGAGAGGTCTGCAGGTGCTACATGGCTGGCTTTGAAAATGGAGGAAGAAGTCATGAGCCGAGGAATGCAACAAATAAAGCTGTAGAAGCTGGAAAAGGCCAGGACACGGATTCTCCCCCAGGGCCTCCAGAAGGAAGCAGCTCTGCTGACACTTTGACCGTAGACTGGTGAGACTGCATTTGGGCTTTTGGCTTCTGGGACTGTGAGAGAATAAATGTGTTGTTTTAAGACACTAAATTTGTGGTCATCTGTATAGCAGCCTCAGGAAACTAATATGGGGATGGAGGCAGGTGGGGATTAGGGAAATGCATGTCCTGGGAGGGGCTGAGCCTGACTGGGCTGGAGCAGATGACAGGGGAGACATAGAAGGTGTGGCTGGGATGGAAGGGTGAGGTCAGTTTGTGACGGGCTCAGAACAGTGGCCTAAAAAGTGTAAATGTGATGGAAACATCACTGACATGTATTGAATGTGTCCTGCGTGCCTGGCCCTCGCTAAGCAATTAATGCATGACCCCACTGTGTTGTCCCAACATTGTCCCATTTTGTAGACAAAGCAGGGGGGAGGGGCTCTGAGACCTGTGGCCGCTGAATGCCACACCACTGGCCAGTGGCTGAGCCAGACTTGGGCTCAAGTTGGTGTGACTCCAGGGGCTGAATCACTGCTATTCCAGCTGCTGAAGGAGCAGGGAACTGGCTTGGTGAAGAGTAGCTTTTTTTTTTTTCCTTTTTTGTCTTTTTTCGTGTCCGGCAACGGATCGCAACCCTCAGTGTCGCGCCCGTACCGGGCTGGGACCGGCAACGGGATCGCAACCCTCGGTGTTGCATCCGCACCTCGCTCAGCCAGTGAGCAGGAACTGGTCTGTATGTGGGATCCGAACCCTCGGCGGGAGCGCCGTCGTGCTCCCAAGTGGCGCACTGTAGCAGTGCGCCACCGGGCCGGCCCGAAGAGTAGCTTTTCAGATAAATAACTGGGATGAATTAGAAAGGAATGAGCTAGCAGGATTTCTTTACTGCAGCACTGCTGATATGTCTGGCCAGATGATTCTTTGCTGCAGGGGAGTGTCTCATGCATTGCAGGGTGTTTCACAGCCTCCCTGGCCTCTACCCACCAGATGCCAGGAATGCCCCCACTTCCTCACCCCAGTTATGACAATCAAAAATGTGTCTGGACATTGCCAGATGTCCCCCAAGTGGTAAAATCCCCTCTGAGTTAGAGCAGGGAGCTCTGTTAAGAGGCCAAGGGACACCCAGGTATTCGGTGCTGATGTTCTAAGCTAGGGTGGGAGAAGCAGGGCTAAGAAGAAAGAATGAGAGAGAGAAAGCTTTTTTAGGGGTAGAATGGTGGCTCCACTGTCAGAGGAGAGAGACAGGTTGGGGTGGCGGTGGGGTTGGGGAGGCGAAGGGGCCGCCAGGCTGTTTCAGACGTGCTGAGTTTGAGGTATTGGAACGACTCCAAGGAGAGGTGGTCAGCAGAGAGCTGGACCAGCCCAACCCATCCAGGGTCTTTGTGCAAATTAGGAAAGAGTATCTTGCACCTGGTGGACATGGCCCGGGCTGGGGACCCCACCTGCTGCCTCGGCTGGGCTCCACTATGTGGGACCCGACCTGCACCACTGCTGCTGGCAGCACGGCCCATGGAGATGTCCATCTGGACGTCACTGCACGGGAGGCGCTGAAGCATCTGGAGTGGAGAGTTTCTTTGAGAGAAAGGAGACAAGCGGCGGGAAGACGAAAGGCTGTGTTGGAGAAAACACTTGTGTTAGGGACGGAAGTTGGTGCAGGGGCTGCTGAAAAAAATTGGAAAAGATGGTAAGAGAGGCAGGGGTACCAGGCCCCGGAGAGCCAAGAGGTGAGCGGGTGTTAAGCCAGAGAACAAAGAGTGTTGGGCAGGCCAGGGAAACACAGCCTGGGGAAGACGCTGGGTCTGCCAGCTCTGCAGGGTGCATGTCAGTCGCTGCGTGGCAGAGACACAGGAGGAAGCGGGCAAGGAAGACGGAGGTGTGACACACCTCTTCAAGGTCATAGGTGGGGACGGGAGTAAGAGCCACAGGAAAGGGGAGGAAGAAGCAGTGGGCCCCAGTGAAGCATTACTATTTCAAGCCGGTCGAGCCATCTTGAAGTGTATGTTTGATGGCAAAGGGGGAGAGAAAAGTGTAGGTGCTGAAGAAAGGAGATGTCACTCAGCATCTGTGCACAAGGTCCCCTGGGAAGGAGAGAGAAGGGAGAGGAAAGGGCTCCATCTGGAAGGTGGGGGCAGAAGATGGAGGGAAGGAAGAAAAGACGGTGTAGAGAGAGGAGGGAAAGGAACTGAACGTGCTCGTGCCTGGGGCCGGCATCTCCACCAAGGCAACTTTCTGGGAATCCCTAGCATGGGAGGGCGAGGATGATCATACAGTGTATTATAATAACAGCTATCAAGTATTATGTACCTGCCATGTGCCAGGAGTTTTATCCATATTTTCTAATCATTACCCACAAGCCAACAAGGGGTACACACTTGTTCACATCTACAGGTGAAACGTAGAAGCTCCCCAAGGTTAAGCTCCACAGCTGGTAAGTGGGAGAATCAGAACTCAGACCCAGGCCTATCATTCTCTCAAAAGAGATTGGAGGCTTGAGAGTACAGGGTTGGATTGGGTAACACAAAGCAGGCATTGGGAGAGGTGCCTTGCCAGGATACCGAGATGGCAGGGGAGGCGAGATGGCCTGGCTGGCATTGGCATGGGCTATGGCACCTGGTGAGCACAGGGATGTGGGGTGGCCAAGTTGGGATGAGTCTGGGATTTAGCTCAGCTGAAACCTGTGACCCAGGAACCAAAGAGGAAGGATTGAATCATGGGTGGGATCCAAAGAGTAGATTAAGGGGAGAAGGGAGTTGCAGATGCTGAACGGGGAGGGAGTGTTTGATCATGTTTCTAGATTAGATAATGGACTGGAATCCTGATGGGAGTTTGCTCTTTGGAAGAAGGAGGAAGTCTTTATTATATTCTGGCTGCAAAAGTTACATGTGTTTGTTATGAAAATCTAAGCATTACCGAAGTCCATAATGTGGAAAGTGTTTGTCACTGTAACCTCAGTGTTCCACACTGTGTGTGTGTGGCACACAGTAGGCCTTCAGTAAATAGTTGTTATAGGACTGGCCGGTTAGCTCAGTTGGTTAGAGTGTGCTGCTGATAACACCAAGGTCCAGGGTTCGGTCCCTATAGTGGCCAGCCACCAAAAAAAAAAAAAGTTGTTGAGTGACTGAATGAACGTAGAGGTCCTATGCAATCCCACCCCAGTGGCTTTTTCTCCAGATTTTTCTTTTGACCAGATACTGACAATTTAAAAACACAAAAGATGGGAACGCACTATGTACACTGTATTGCAGATTGTTTTTTGGTTTTTGTTTTTTTTTCATGTAAAGATACTCTGTATCTTGGATATTGGAGAAAGAAATTTTCCATGCATGCAGGGAAGGCTTTTATTTGTAACAAAGTCTCGCAGAAATAGACAAAAACAGCTGAGCTTGCAGAGAACAATATAAACGGTCCTTTCTTTTCCTTATCAAAGGAGGCCTGAGAAAGCAGGCAGGAGTACGGTGGAGCTAACTTCCAAGGTTCCCCTCAGACGTTTCCTATCTCCCCCGCTGGACCACACAGCAAATCCTTCCAATCAGACAGTAGTGACACAGCCTTGAGCCCTACAAGGGCCTAGATGCCTCTGGGCACCTTCGAGGGCACCTTCTGGGCTGCTCACGATGCCACCCAACAATATTTTAAGTAGTTTCCCTCTACATTTTTGTGACCTGGATTCCCCTGTGGGATTTATTTCAGGATTTACGCACCTAGCTTGTTACACATGTGTTTTATCTCTTAGGACGACGTTCTAAAAGGCAGGTATTGTGGTGGCTAAGATCAGGGGTTATGAGGTCAGAGGGACTTGGACTGGGTCCCAGCTTTGCCACTTGGCAGCTGAGACACGAGGCCCATTGTTATGACTCTGAGAAGGAGGCTTACGAAGGGTTCTGTTGGCTTCAACCCAAGGGAGTGCTCACAGCTAAGTAAACCCATGTGCTGCCAAATGGAGAAGGGCAGGGCTTCCAGATAAAGTCACCTTGGTGTGAGTCAATCAAGCCACACTGCCCATGCACACACCTGTCTGGCTGCCACTCACATTGAGGCCAAATTAAATCAACAAGTTTTGGGGGCTGACGATGATAGCAGTTCCCACTTCTTAAGGGCTCACGGTGACCAGGCACTACAATGTGTGTGTGCATGACATCATTCAGTCCTCACAAGGACCCAATGAGATTTCATGCCCATTTTAGAAGCAAGTAAATGGAAGCTCAAAGATGTAAGGTAACTTGCCCACACAACTAGTATGTGCACAGCGGAAATTCACACCCTGGCTGTTTGTCTCCAAAGCCCAAGCTCAGACCATTACACTGTAATGCTAACAGGCTTTACTTGGTCATGGCTCATGGTGGGCGTTAGATGCACTTTACTTTAGGGAAGGAAAACTCTTAGCTCTGTTTCTGCCCAAGTTAATGACAGAGCCTGTCCTCTAGGAATTGGGCATGTACCTGGTACCTTGCTGGATCTTTAGAAGCAGTGTGTGTGTATGTGTGTGTGTGTGCGCGCACGCGTGTGCGGGGGTTGGAGGGGGGGGGTCACAGAAAAAACACAGGTGTTGTGATCACAAAGCCCTCAGTTTGAGTCAGGACCCCACTATATACCAGCTGTGTGATCCTGGCAAGTTTTTAATGTTATTGAGCCTCAGTTTCCTTACCTTCAAAATAAAGACAGTACTAGTAGCTACCTCATTGGGTTGGTGGGAGGATAACAGTATAGAATGCATAAAAAACACCTAGCACCGGGGGTTGGGGGGGGGGGGGTCACAGAAAAAACACAGGTGTTGTGATCACAAAGCCCTCAGTTTGAGTCAGGACCCCACTATATACCAGCTGTGTGATCCTGGCAAGTTTTTAATGTTATTGAGCCTCAGTTTCCTTACCTTCAAAATAAAGACAGTACTAGTAGCTACCTCATTGGGTTGGTGGGAGGATAACAGTATAGAATGCATAAAAAACACCTAGCACAGTGATAAGTACCCAGGAGGAGCTAAATAGTCTATGGGTCCTACCCTCCTCATAGGAATTGTGAACACAGAGGCTCTTGGGAGTGTTTGTGGATGGTGATGAACAGACTGGGGACCCCCTGTCGGCCTCAGTGATGAAGTACGTTGAGTCACCTTATCCTTGTGGAATAATCATAAAAATGGTTTCTGACTCATAGTTTCCTCATTTCTAAAATAAGGATAATGGTATCTGCCTCATAGTGTTATTGGGAGGATGAACTGAGATTAGGTGTGTAAAATGCTGAGAATGGTGTCTAGACTACCCTTGTCACCATAATCACTATCGTCACCTTCACTGCCATCATCACCATTACCTTTACCATCATTACCATCATCACCACTATCACCATCACTACCACCATCACCACCTTCACCATCATCGCCACCACCACCTTCACCATCATCGCCATCACCACCATCATCACCACCATCACCATCACCACCACCATCTTCACCATCACCACCATCATCACCACCATCACCATCACTACCACCATCACCACCTTCACCATCATCGCCACCACCACCTTCACCATCATCGCCATCACCACCATCATCACCACCATCACCATCACCACCACCATCTTCACCATCACCACCATCATCACCACCATCACTACCACCATCACCACCTTCACCATCATCGCCACCACCACCTTCACCATCACCACCACCATCTTCACCATCACCACCATCATCACCACCATCACTACCACCATCACCACCTTCACCATCACCACCATCACCACCTTCACCATCATCGCCATCACCATCACCACCACCATCTTCACCATCACCACCATCATCACCACCATCACCATCACCACCACCATCTTCACCATCACCACCATCCTCCTCTTCCTCATCACAATATCACCCTCACCATCAGCATCATCACTACCACCATCATCATCCTCACCATCATAAGCAACACCTGCCCCCCTTCATCCCTATACCCTGCCCCTCACCACTCCCTTCTTCTCTATGCTATGTGATGAGGGGCAGGCACTTATGTAAAAATTAACATTGTTTCTGCTTTTGCTTTTTTTAAAATTTTATTTTTATTTTTATTTTTTGTCCTTTTTTTTTTTGAGACCGGCCGCACCGCGCTCAGCCAGTGAGCACAGCGAGCGCACTGGTCATCCCTATATAGGATCCGAACCCGCGGCAGGAGCGCTGCTGCACTCCCAGCGCCACACTCTCCCATGGGCTCGGCCCTTTGCTTTTTTTTTTAAAAAAAGAACTTTATACAACCCTCTGGGTTGCTTTGGAGATGTCCCAGCTGCAGATGTTGAAGCACCAGAGTTAAAAATCACTTCTCTATTCTCATTCATTATTGCAAAAATGTCAAATTAATGCAGACTTTCTGGAGGTGATTTGGCAAGGAGTAGTAACCATCTTCAAAATGTTGGAGTCACTTAAAGTGTGGCCCCGGGCTCTGTCCCTTCGCACTCAACACTTTCTTCCTAAACAATACCATTCACACCTATGGCTAAGTCATCCATCCATCCATCCTTCCATCCATCTCACAGGTATTTCTTAAGCACCCGCTGTGTGGCACACACCCCTCTCTCTCCAGGCTAGACATCCAGGGTAACAGCTGCCCCCTGGGCACACCTCACCTTCATGTCTGGCAGGCACCTCACACTCATCTCCCTCAAACCTGGACCTCATCTGGTGTTCCGTACTCTGGATTTTAGTGAAGGATCCACATCTGTCCTTTCACACACGCTAGAAACCTAGAGGTCATGTAGATCCCTTTATCTCTGTCACTTCCCTTCCAGTTATATCCACTTCCACCACTGAAGCCTGCCGATTACGTCTGACATGTCCCTGAATCTTCTCTCTCCCTCCATCACAGCCTGACCTAGTTTAGGCCACCACCATCTCTTGTGACAGCCTCCTCCCTGGGCTCCTGGGGCTCCAGGCTGCCCACCTGTCTCTTGGCCAAGATGACTGCCTCAAGATGCAAACCCGCTCTATCGAATCCTTACTTAAAACCTTTCACTGGCATCTCGCTGCTCTTAGGATAAAGCAGAGCTTCTTACCAGGGCCCTGCAATCCCTGCGCGCATAGCCCCTGCCGACCTCTCTCACTGGCCTGCCCTGCTCCCCCTACCCCCATTTCTTTTAGCAACTGTGTTCTCCATGCTCCTCCCACTACCAGGCTGCTCCCTCCACCCAGAGTGCTCTCTCCTCTCCTCTCCGGCAAACAACTCCTATGCATCCTGCAGATGCCCTGCCCTCCCTGCCCTGGTCGAGCCCTGCACTTCTTCATTGCAAATGTCACTATGCAGGTTTTATGTTTGAGTGATTTTTTGATTAATGACCAAGCCATGCCTTCCCCTGAGACCATAAGCTCTGTGAGGCAGGGATAGTGCCTGTTTTCCCCCCAATATTTTACTATGAAAAATTTCAAACTTATGGTAAAGTTGGAAGGATTCTACAGTGAGTGCTCATATACTCATGACCTGGATTCTACCTGTTTCTGACCCCACTATCTCTCTGCCCAGCACCTGGTCTCTTGTAAGCATGCAAGAAATCTTTGTTAAATGAAAGTTTATACCCTTCCACTTCAAGGATAATAAAGATAAGATAAACAGATACATGTGCAATGATGTTCATTGCAGCATGACTTATGAGCATGGAAAACTGGAAACAACTTGAATGCCCATGATAGGGTATTGTCTGAATAAATGACATATATCTTACACAACGGAATTCCTTGCTGTGATAACATTGATGATGTAGATCTGTGTGTACTGACATGAAAGGGGCTTCCTGATGATGGGTCATTGGGAACAAAACTAAAGAAAATTGGGTATAATATGATGCTATTTTTTGTAAAATTAAAAGATCAATAAATGTTAGGTAATACCTACTCTGTGCCAGGTACTATTCAAAGTACTTTACACAGATCAATGCATTTTAACCCTTACAACAACCCTAAGAGTTAGGTACCCCTTATTATTCCCATTTTACAGGTGAGGAAACTGAGGCATAGAGAAGGTAAGTAACTTATCTAGAACCACACAGCTATTTTCATGCACAATGTCTTGGAAGTTACAAAATATAACAGTAGTTATGGCTGAGAGATAGGATGTAGCAAAATTTTGATTTAATTTTCCTTTGGCCTCTGTCACATTTCATTTTTCTTCAGTGATCATGTCCCACTTGTGTATTTTTTTTTTTAAAGGGAAAATCACTTCTCAAGTGGAGAAGCAAAGTAAGGCTGGAGAAGGGAATGCTTGACCACATACCCACGAAGTCTTCCTCAACAGATGTCCCATCAAGGTGAGATTCAATGTGACATTTTAGAGTCATGCAACTATGTGAGAAAGAAGTCCCAGTAACCTTTGTCAGAGCTGGATAGCTGGATGCCGAGGTCCTGGAGGAGTTGCTCTGTTTCCTCCAGCCAGGACAGCAAGTGGCTCAGGATGTTCAGCGCCACCTTCTGGAGCCCGGAAACAGGTGGGCTCATCTGGAGCTGCTGCAGAAGCTCCACCTCCTTCTTCAGGTCGCTGCTGCAGCAGGACATTTTCATGCAAGCCTGAAATGAGAGGAAACCATGAGGAGCCTAGCCCCTGTAACCAGAAACAGCCTCGGACGTGACCCGCAAGGAACCACGTTGTTGGCTTTGCCACGATGCAGGCAGCGCCACCTGTTGGCCGCCCTGGGATGCCCCAGTTTTATTCGATTTTTTTTTTTTTAGCAGCTTTTATTTTCTTGCACTCTAATTTGGACTTTTGGTGGTCAAAGTGAACCTACTTTTAGGTATCTGCAATCCCAAAGCCAACTTGCCTTCGATAATTCGGCTAACATGAGAACCAAACTTGGCTACTTCTGTTCATCAAAATTCCTGCTGAGTTCAACACCCAAGTTGGTCAGAAAATGTGGTTTCCTCTTTTGAGAGAGTGCTGACAAGCCAGCATTTACACATATTCCCCACATAGTAGCTGCTGATTTCCAGAGAAAGCAGAAGCAGCTGCCTGCTCTGATAAGCCCTGTTCCAGTGCAGAAGGCCACGGGGGTGTGGCCAGACCCTCTAGTCCCAGCTCCTCCAGAGTCAAAGGCAACAGGGGTGACAGCCCCTTCCTTGCTAGGCCAAAAAAGAAAATGCAAATAAAGAGCAGGAACATTTCTTTGGTTTCTCTGGAAATAACATAGGAGCTACTGTTTTGCTGTTGTTGCTGGGGCCGTGGGCCTCCCAAGGTCAGTACCGAAATTGAAGATGCTCAGGCATCTTTTCTTAGCAGCCACACTAAGTTCACCTGGGAGGCGTTTTTTGAATCCTTTGTTTTCTTTTCTCCAACGACAGAACAGGTGGAGAAAAAAGCAAAGCTTTTCTGCCCAATCTGCTCTGCGAAAGCCAATTTCCCCACTAAGAAGCACAAAAACCAGGCAAAGGGGACATGTGTGAAATGCATCGCGAGGGGCCACCTGGCAGCCATCTAAAGACGTCCTCAGCTTCTCGATGTTTCCCGCGATCTCCTCCTGCCTGGAATTGCTGAGCTGGCTCTCCTTCTGCAGGGTCCACTTTTTCTGCTGGAAGTTGATGTTGTCCTCAGTCACCTGCGCAATTTTCTCTATTAACTGGCAAGGAAACGAAAAAGAAGAAACGATATAAAAATACAGGCTGGTTTTGGCAGAAGGGGCAGTGGAGAGCGGCAACTTAAGTTCCACCAGGACACGATTCCTGGGACCAGAGATGATTCTTGAGAGCTAAAGGCCTGTGCTGTTGCCCTGCATTTGTTCCAGATTCTTCTCCGCGGTAGCAATGATTCCTAGCAGTGACCCGATGCTGCGGATCAGGCACAGGCCAGGTTCTCCTATGCCTGATGAGAGGAGCCCAGGTATGTTTTCCTACCTGTGCTTTGACACAGGCTGGAGACAATAACTGCAAGGGTGATCACCACACCAGGTCCATTGTCACTGCCGTCGGCATCCTTCCTCTTCGGAAGGAACAAGCCAGGCGCGGGGCCCGTGGTGGGGGAGCCCTTTTCTCACGGTGCTAAGGAAGGTGAAGCTGTGTGTCTAGCGACCAGAAGGAAGCCTGACTGATTTACTGTGATTTTCACAGAAACACTTCAAGGGAGTTTAACTGGCTTTTACTTTAAAAGCTAGGAAATCCCATAAAATCAAAACAAATCTTTATGGTGTAGCAACAGTGTGAAAAATATGCACCACCAACAAAAACAGAAACATATGCTCGCAGAGTCTGGAATCCAGATCCCTGAGGGAGAGAGGGAGGGAGCCACGTGGCAGGAAAGCCACACTAACCTGCTGGTCGGTGATGGGTTTGTCCTGGGATGGCTTCGCTCGCCCGTAGGTGGCCTTGATGACCTGACTTCTGAAATGCTCCAGCTATAGCACAAAGGAGGGCGGGGCAACAGTGTTAGCGGGGACACCGGGAGCCGGCCAGCCTGGGGGTGGCATTTCCATCGCAGGGTCCAGGAAAAATGACTTAGAAGGGTCTGCACGCCCTCACGGTCATGACATGCTATCAAAATCTTCACCGGTCACCGCAAGGGGTGGTACCCACAGAAGAAAAGAGAACAGCAGGTTTTAATTACTTTTTAGGCACGCCTGCCTAACCCAACTGATGCAGGTGGTCAGCACACACATGGCTCAGGCCCTCAGAAGAGCCACTTGCTGCCAATTATCCAGTGAGAAGTCTGGGGCCGGGAGCACTCTTCTATAATTGCTAAGTTGGCACCAGACTGTGAAATAAATATTGAGGCTGTCAGCCCAAGTAAACTGTGTCGTCAACGAGGGTGTCTGGGGAGAAAAGATGCTCTGCCTCTGCCATTTGGTGCCTTAGACCATAAACGTCCAGAAGACTATGTCTATCGTATTCATCTCTGTACCCCTGCAGCCTAGTACAGTGCCTGGCACAGAGTAGGCACTTAACAGACATTTGTTGAACACTTGTGTACAGAAACATCTGTTAAAGTCAGGGTCCTCTCCTTCAATCCAAGCAGCTTGATCGTATTCATCTCTGTACCCCTGCAGCCTAGTACAGTGCCTGGCACAGAGTAGGCACTTAAAAGACATCTGTTGAACACTTGTGTATAGAAACATCTGTTAAAGTCAGGGTCCTCTCCTTCAATCCAAGCAGCTTGTATTGAGTGCCTCATGGGTGCTGGTGTTTTCACATTAAGGTACATGAAAATGCACAGTGACATTCAATCATGGCTTATAGAATGACAAGTCTAAGGTGTCTTGGATTCCATCAGAAGTTAGAGGCAAAGAAGCCCAACTTTCTCTGGGAATTTACCAACATGGCAGCCCTTGGCCTGGGTTTCGGTCCACTGGCAAGATGTGGTTATTAAAGGACTAAAGCAGAGCCCTGAAGCAAAAGGGCCACTGAGTCAACCTAAGTGAAAAGGGCCTCAAGACACAGGAGTTTACAGCGCATGGGGGAAAGTTCTGGGAAGCTAAGACGCAAAGTGGTGAATGTCCTAAGGATATCTGTGGTCATCCTGCCAGGAGCAGGCCATGGTGACATGAGGCACTGCAAGCCATCCTTGGGTCTCATGGGCAAGGGGAGGGTCCCAGCTTGCCCAAGGTATTGGTTCTGCAGTGGAGGGCCTGTGATTGATGGTCTGCCATGACCACCAGAGGATCCTTACAGGAATGACTGCCCAGGGTGGGAAGGGCAGGTCCTCTGGGACTGTGGGCCCTATCCTGGAGTCATTGGCCTGGGGAAGGGCAGAATGTTGGACAGGAAGCAGGGCCTTGGAGATAAGGGGGTGGGGTGGGAAGGCTCTGGGTGGTGGAGATGGGGCTTGTCCTCTCTCTTGAGTCTAGATCTGGGGGAGTCTCTGTCTTCAGGGGTCTTCCTGGGTGACCTCTCCTCAGAGCTGTAACAAGGACCTTGGCCCTTGGGCAAGGGACACAGGTCATGCCCTCAAATTAGATGTGTGTGGGGGTGCAGAAGGAGGGAAGGTGAGAGGGTAGCCCAGGACAGGCCCAGACTGGCAGACTCTGCCCTTGATAAGGGGCTGGCACCCTGCAGGAGAAATGACACTGGGGGTGACGGTGGTGAACAGTTGTTGAAGGGGTTTTAAAGTCTGTCCAATAGTTAGCATTATTCTTTAACTCTTGTGTGCCTCTGAATGCCAGTGTGTGGGGACAGAGCCCTGGTCGCACTGCCTTAAGGCTTGGACAGTAGCAAATGGAAGGGCTTTGGGACCTGGGCTGGGTGTTGTGCAGTGATCCTTTAAGAATGGTGGTCATCAGTCTTTTTTGGTGGTTCACAGACCCTTCTGAGAATCCAATAAGCGACATGGTGCACGCTCCCTCCCAGAAATGAACAGCACAAGCACATACACATAGAAGTTCTGTGGCTCCCCTGCAGCCGTGGTTGCCAGGAGAGGTCCCTTGTGGAGGAGTCGCAGGTGGGCCGCCCAAGGTGGGCCATGTTCTGGAGGGTCAGGGCCTCCTGTCTCGGATTCCCGTTTTCTCTCCCTGAGCCTTTGGTAAAGTCTCATCTGCATGTTCTGGCCCTCACATTGTGCCCTGTGCCACAGGAAGGGCCACTGGGACCCCTTGGGCCACAGTGTCAGAGAAATGGTGCCTCTGGACCACTGAGCTCAGGGCCTGCTCACTGCCCTGCCCAGGAACTTCTCCACCTAGCATGAACTTTGGACACTGGGGCTTTACTTTATTAAGAAAAGTGGCATTTCTGTGTGGACCCTGACTGCCACATATACTGGGCGCCCAGAGGAGGAAGGATTGTGGTAAATGTCAGGACTAGAAACGTTAGGGAGAAAGTACTAGGAACACCATCGGGGTTGAGGGGCTTGGTTAACAGGGGCAGACTTTGGGCCAGGAGTGGCTTCTTGGTCAGGGTCTTTGGTCACAGTAACTATTAGAGTGGGAAGCTTCCCCGCAGGAGAAACCTCCTTAGTGATGCCCACTGGGGTGAGAAGCCATGGAAGGCCTCTGCCCACGAGATGAACAAGAGAACGAGGAAATGGCTGTCACCCTACCCCGCTGTCTTCCTCCTCTCACCCCCACTGGCCACTTGGCTGCAGAAAATCACTGGGGAACATGGGCCAATGAAATGGGCTCTGGAGCATGCCTACCTGACCTACTGCCCTTTCCAAATTGATTTTAATGAGGCTCTCTCTGTTCCCCATTTGTTGCAGCTGAAGCAATTTCTTTCTGGAATCCTCCTGAAGCTTCTCTTCAACCTGAAATGATGATGAAAGCATGTGCTTGCTGCTAATGCAACCATAATGTACTCTGGGGAAATTCCTCTAGGAGGTTTAATGGTTGTGGGAGATCCCCGAGGGGTAGGGACAGCTGCACCCCGGGTGGCAGGGGTCACAGGCGTGCACGGGGTGGAGGCCAGCTCACGAGGTGCCATCCCATGAGGGAAGGGGCCAGGCTCTGCACCTTGGCCTCAACTACATTTGTCCTACCCCAGGCTCCAATCCCAACTCGGTACCTAACAAGCCATAGGACCCTGGGAAAATCACTTCACTTCTCCATGACTCA